AAAAAAAAAAATTACCTCTGAGAAAACTGCAAAATTCACATTTCCACTGGAGTTCTAAATAACCATTATTTCTTGAAATCAATGTATTCTCAGCACAGGCAAGGTTGAGCCGTGGCTGAAGTCAGAGGCGGGCTGAGGAAATGTAAGTGAGGCAGCTCGGGGATCTACTGCAGTCGCTTTACCTTCCTCCATTTCCTTAAGACCATTTCCTCAGCTGCTTTCTCTAGTTCACATTGTGTCAACAAAGATGGACTTTCTGTTTTGTTTGTTTGTTGTTTTGTTACAGAGAGGGAAGTGGGGGGAGGGAACAGAGAGAGGGAGACAGAGAGTCTTGAGCAGGCTCCACACCCAGCGGAGCCGATCTCACAATCCTGAGATCATGACCTGAGCCAAAACCGAGAGTTGGATGTTTAACCGACTGAGCCACAGAGGGGCCCCTTTTTTGTTTTTTGTTTTTTGGGGATTTTTGGACTTTCTGTTTTTATTGGTCTCATTGTTTGTGTGGGCTTATTTCTGAGTAAAGAAGAAAAAGAACTTGATGTTGCTATCTTGTAACCAAAAGTCCACTGATCCATGACTAATATAACACTTACTTGTAATTTACTCAATACTTGCACCACTGTGAGCAATCCCTAGGCGCTGTCCCAAGCCCTCCTAGTTATCTCATTTTTCAGGATTTTTTTGGCAATCTTCCAGGATGGCGGGTTAGTGAAATGGGATTTGTTCATCCTAGGTAAACCACAGGTTGGACTCCTTCCATCCAAGAAGGAATGCAGTTTAGCCTCCACAAGAAGCATATCAGCTCTGGTCTTATATTGAAAGTCTATGGAAATCCCTGTAGTCATCAAATGAATGCCACAAGCCCTTACCCAGGAGCAAAACTTAGAACTGAGTGCAAACTACCTTCTTACAGGAAGCACAGTGAAGTAAAAAAAAGCCCAGTTAAGAGAGAGACTGAGACATGAATGTGCAGACAAGATCAGATCTTCTCTTTGCACGTTCTCCTTTGTAGCAATTTATACTATTACAATTAAATAATTAATTGCGAAATCAGTTGTCTGATGTCTAGCCCTCCTCCACTCTAAGATAAGCTCTGTGGAAGTAGAGATGAGATAGATGTGTTAACTTTTAAAACTGCTTGCCCTGCACCTGATGAATTGGTGGATTCCAATATATATTTGTGGAGTATATGCTTTCAGTTGCAAGTGCCTGAACTCCCAACTGAAATTTGCCTTAAAATAAGTTTAGAGAGAGGTGCCTGGGTGGCACAGTCAGTTCAGCTGCTGACTCTTGGTTTCGGCTCAGGTTGTGATCTCAGCATTGTGAGACCAAGCCCTGAAAAGGGCACTGCGCTCAGCACAGAGTCTGCTTAAGACCCTCTCTCCCTTTCCCCTGCCTGCTCGCTCTCTCTCCCTCTCAAATAAATAAATATTTAAAAAAAAATAAGTTTAGAAGGACGCCTGGGTGGCTCAGTCGTTTGAACATCTCACTCTTGATTTTAGCTCAGGTCATGATCTCAGGGTCATGGGACTGAGCCCCACGTTGGGCTCCGTGCTTGGTGGGGCGTCTGCTTGAGATTCTTTCT